ATACACTTGAGAGAATTCCATAAATATGATAAATACATAACACAATTTTTTGCAATATTGTTTCTCAGAACTCATTCATTCCTAAAAAAATAGAGAATTTACTTCTACTCTTTTATTTCTTTCCTAGATTGAAACATTTTAATCTTATTTGTAAGGGAAATTATCACTCACCTCCCTCAAGGTTTTATACATTATCATTTAGACCCCTTCACTATTAAAAATATAACCTTACCCCCTCTCTATCTTTTGATGAGAGTTTAATAACTCATAATCACGTTTAGCAAAATTATAGATTGAATCATATAAATTTACTCACTTGCAGATTTTATACGGTAACCCATAAATTTCACCAGAAAGTACACTTTGTGACGAAAAATTTGACGCCATCTTTTCTAGTACTTTGTATTTTTTTGCTAGAATGTGTGTTTTCCGATGAAACAGTTCTTAAATAGACATATTTATTAGTTATATATATAGAACTACATCTATATGAGAGTAAATTTATAGGACTAATAGCGAACACAATAAAAAAATATGAGCATAAAACAGTAAACCTCTATTATTTTTAAAAGTTCAAAAATATTCATGAGATTGTAGAAATACTGGTGGAATATACATCTCATGGTAGAGTTTTTTTCTCGCATGAAAAAAGATTATTACCTTTAGCAGTTTTCTTAAAAGTATCCACTAATATATTTTAGATATAATAAAAATATTTTTAAAGTTTGAATGAACTAACATTATTTCGAATTACAGTTTAGCTAAACTTTTGAAATATTATTTATACCTAAAATAGATGTTGGTGAATGATCTTTAGGACAAGGCCATATCTTTCAAGTAAGTATTTAATTTCTCATAAACATCATTCACCAACATATATTTGAGGTATAAAATAACATCCCAAAAGTTTAGCTAAATTGTAATTATAAATAATGTTCATTTAAATTTTTAAAATTGTTAATACAAGATTAGATATGCGGATAAATTTTTAAATGTTTTAGATAGACTACATAAGCTAATTTTTTCACCATAAAGTGTACTTTCTTGTGGAAAGATTCTTAATACGGATAAACTTATTTGTTACCAGATCAGATATGGAAGTGAGTAAATATCCATGATTAAATCTATAATATTGCTAAACATGATTAGGAGTTATTTAAACCATCCGGAGTATATTTTTAATAGTACAAGGGTCTAGGTGATAATACGTGAAACCTCAAGGGAGGTGGGTGATACTTTCCCTATTTCTAATCTAGTTTTTCACAGCTATTATAGGCAATTTCTTACTTGGTTTCAGTTTAAAATAAGTGTTCTTCACTAAGCAAGAAAATCAAAGAAAAAAATTTAAATCTAGTTTGTAGAAAACAAACCAGCGCTGTCATCATTTCTAGTAAATAAAACAACTATGGAACTGGAGCAAAGGCGTTAAAAGCCAATCTTCAGATGCTATTATGCTAAGGTATGTACATCATCAATGGAGAGCATTGCTTCTACACGCTGTCGACAATTGCTATGCAACTCCTTCAGGGTCAACTTGTATTAACATTTTTGTTTTTTCTTTACATTCAAGCTACCCATTAGGGAACAATAAGAAGCATAGTCAAGAACAAGCCCCATTTCACGCCGTAGAATCATATCACCACCATCACCAAACTTCGCGCGCTTCCTCAAATGTCCTTCCAAAAGAATGTTGTAAGTGATGTCATCGGGTACAACCCCTATATTAAGCATAGCATGCAATAGCATCTCTGCGTTCTTCATCTGACCTTGTTTGCACAAACCATTCATAATCACATTATACGTTATCACTCCCGGCCTATATCCATCCCTTTGCATTTCTCTCAACAGCTCAAACCCCATTTTCACGTCTCCCTTCTTGCAAAAGCCATCAATGACCATAGTGTATGTTTGACCATCAGGTTTTAAACCGACACTCAACATTTCTCTTAACATTCTCTGCGCGTCTACTACCTTCCCTTCTCGGCATAGACCTGTGATGAAGGACGTATATGTTACATTGTCGATCATTATCCCATTTTCTGTCATTTCATTTTGGACCTCATACGCAGCGTCTAGATCTCCCGCCTTGCAATAGCCATCTATGAGTGTGGTGTATGTGATCTTATCGGGCTTTATACCTTTTTCGTTCATTTGGGAGCTGAGTTTCCGGGCCCCCATTAGGTCCCCGCTCTTCAAAAGCCCATCAAGTAGTGTGTTACATGTGATCAGATCAGGCCAAATGTGGTTTCTTAGCATACGTTGATAGACATCCATGGCCAAGTCAACCCGCCCGTCTTTACAGTGCCCTTTAATCAATGTTGTGAAGATCACATGGTTGGGGAGTAAACCTCTCTCAGACATTTCATCAAGCAGTTCGCCTGCAGCAGACATTAAACACTTCTCGCAGTGGCCATTTATCAAAACACTATAAGTATAAACATCTGGAACTACTCCAGTCTTCTCCATTACATTCCTTAACCTAAACCCAGCATCTAAATCACCTAATCTGCAATATCCATTGATCAAAGTGTTGAAGCTAACAGCTGTAGGCAATATGCTCCATTTCCTAATTTCATCAAAAACCAAATTAGCTTCCCTCAGTTGGCCTTCCCTGCAGAATTTATGCATCAACATGTTGAAACAATACACACTTGGAGGACACCCTGCTTCTAATAGCTCCTTATATAAACCCCAACCTACCAATGGAGCCGCTTTCATCAAATGATCAATCACCCGCGAAGAAGCTTGAAGCGGAATAACCAATCTATGCTTTTTGATAATCCGAAAACACTGGATAACATCCGAGATAAAACCAGATTCAAGATACAGAACGATGAGGCAGCAGGAAAGCCGAGTGGTGGAGTCGGGTGTACCTTTAGATTCAAGAATGGAAGTAAAAATCGCAGAGGCTGAATTCTTCCCTTTTCTCGAAACAATTGTTTGCAGCAGAGATTGAGCCTGTGGGAGCATGTTGTAGGCGGAGAGGACATGAGCCATGGTGCAGTAGGTGTGGAGGGTGTGGCGGAAAGGGGATGGGTGAGAGGAAAGCCATGTGAAGAAGGAGTACAGAGATGAAGTGGGGAGAGAGTGAGGGTTGAGATTGATTAGGTCGATGATGTGTTGGGGTTTAAGAGATGGAAGGACGTTTTTGAGGGAGGCTTGGAGGGATTTCCTTGTGGAATTCGTTATGGCTTCTGAAAGGCTCGTGAGGATTGGATCGATCTGAATGCTTTGAGGAGGTTTTGGCGGAGTAGGAGGTGGAGTGAACCAAGGTTTGGGTACAGAAACGGCGGCGGTGCACAATTGGCGGCGGCAGTTAAGGTGCACTGCGCTCATCTCCGGCACGGAGGGAGTCGACGTGAAACAGAATGGTTTGGTTTTTGTATCCACTCACGTGTTTGTCTTCCAAGTTCCAAAGAGAACCGGCTCTATGTGTATAATTATATACAAACACCGACATATTCATGGTCTTAAAGCACTATATATTTCTAATGGAAATGGCAGCTAGAGCTGGAAAATGAACACGTGCATGACCTTCGCGCACAAAATATCAGAAGTCTTCAATAATGATAGTGAGGATCAAATCCTCCGCAGGCCTCTGGGTGTTGGCGTCCACATCCATGACTCGCCATTGCCACACATCCTCGGCCGTCACATCTCTCCATCTGTTACACCTTCTTCAACTCTCCATTGATTCTCAAGCTCTCAAACTCGCCCAACAATGCCATGCTCGGATCCACTGTTCGGGCCTCACCCAACACTCTGTTCTTGCAACAAAACTCATCTCAGCATACTCCACGTGCCAACGCCCATTCAGTTCACAGCTCTTCTTCGACTCATTCGAAACAAAAAACGTCTACATTTACAACACATTGATCAATGGATTGGCCAAAAACAGGTTCTTTGTGCAAAGCATTCGCCTTTTTGAGCAAATGTGTGCTGGTACTGTTTCGCCTGATGAATTCACGTCCTCCAGTGTTGTGAAAATATTGGCCGAAGCTGGGGATTTTATGTCAGGGAAGATGGTTCACTCCATGTGTGAGAAAAACGGGTTTCTTTTGGACACTGTGGTCGCCAATTCTTTCATGTCTTTGTATGTGAAGAGTGAGAGTCTCTCTGATGCGCTGAAACTGTTCGATGAAATGCCAACTAGAAATTTGGGTTCTTGGAATGTTATTATTTTGGGCTATGTACGTTTGAAAGATAAAAGTTCTGAAAATGGGTTGTGGAAGTTTGTGAAAGAGATGAAAATGGAAGGATGGGAATTCGATGCCTTTACGGTTTCGACACTACTCTCATTTTGTGTAGAGGATAGGAAAACGTGGCATTACGGAAGGGAACTTCACTGCCATGTCTTCAAGAAAAGCTTAAATCTAGAAATAGGAATAAGTGGCGATAATCATCACTTAGGCTGTTGTTTAATTGACACATACTCAAAGAGCGGCAGAGTTAACCCAGCAAGAAAGGTTTTTGAACAGTTAACCCATAGGAACGTGTTTGCATGGACATCCATTGTAAATGGTTATGTACAGAACGGTAACTTCAAAGAAGCCTGTCAGCTTTTCTTTAACATGCAAGTAGAAGGAATCACACCAAACAAGGTTTCTCTTGTATGTATCCTCCCTGCTTGCAGTTCAATGGTAAGTCTAAAGGGTGGCAAACAGGTCCACACGTTTGCCATTAGGCAAAATTTGAACAATGAAGTGTCTTTCTCAAACGCTTTAGTCGATATGTATTTCAGAACCGGAAGCTTGAATAGTGCAAGACATGTTTTTGAACATGGGTCAACTATCAAGGACAGGATATCTTGGAGTTCAATGATTCTGGGATATGGGCTACACGGGAAAGGCCATGAAGCAATTTCTATGTTTAATCAGATGCTTAATAACGGGATCAAGCCCGATATGATCACAGCTGTCGGTGCTCTTTCAGCTTGCGCAAGATCAGGATTGGTGGATGAGGGCATCAAGATATTTGACTCTGTCTTAAATGATTATGATGTTAAACCATCGGTAGAAATGTGTTCATGCATGGTTGATCTGTTCGGGCGGTCTGGGCAGCTGGACCGTGCACTTGAGTTTATCAACTCTATGCCTGTGGGACCCGGTCCGAGCATCTGGGGGGCCCTCTTGAACGCATCCACACTACATGGGCACAATGAGATGCGCGAATTGTCATACAAGTTTCTTGTTCAGATGGAACCGGAGAATCCATCGAATTATGTTTCCCTTTCAAACTTATATGCTTCTTCCCAGAGATGGGATGTTGTTTCAGAAGTGAGAAGGTTGATGAAGGAGAGAGGAATGAAGAAATTGCCTGGCTGTAGTTGGATTGACATCAAGAGAGAAACTCATTGCTTTTATATTGCTGACAAGGCACATCCCTGCTGTGATATGATTTATGAGAGGTTGGTTGAACTTAGTTCAATGATGAAGCAAGCTGGTTTGGAGCCTGCGTTTGAGAGTGGAATAACGTTGTGTGAATGATGACTTGATCTACTAATGAGCTCCGTGAATGCTTGATGGAAGCTTGAGGGAAGCTCCTTATTGTGATAAAAATAATTCATTATCTGCACACCGACACGCTTGTTACAAGGTAGTATAGTGTTCTAAATCATGCTTTACAAATTTCTAATAACATAAGTTGTAGACTCTTATATAAATTATAGATGAAGCAAAAAAAAATATAGTGTAGTTGACTAGGTTCATGATTGATATTATTTCCATCTTCCAAAACTTTGTTAGCACTCCAGACCATCTTCATTTTGTTTATTGATATCATCACATTTACCCCAACCGAGTTACCCACTTACCCAGCATCTGTGTCAATCACCCAGTACTTAGAACCTAACTCGGGTTTGTTGATCATATTGGCTTTAGAGGATAGTTAGTGCGCTGTAGTTCCAACTTCCAAATAGATGTTACTCTTTGAGCACCAACCTAAATTGTAAACATACCTGTGCCCTAGGCATAGATTTTTTCAATGAACTTTCTTTTATAGCTAAAAAATAATACAAGGCTGTTTTCAACCTATGTTATTTATTCAGAGAAAGTAATGATTTGTTTATAAAGATTATGATCTGTGTCCTGAACAGTGACTTTATGCTTTAATGTGCTGCTCCAGTATTTAATCAACAGATTGCATACTAGTTCAAGTGCATTAGTTTGCTGGTTATGTGTTGCTAGTAGCTAGGTAATTTAAGATGCTATGCTTGAGTCATCACTTGCTGCATTTTGTATTATATGATCATTTGACAAATGACCGTTCTTTGATAGTGTCTATATGCTAGTATCTTGAATTTTTTTTTTGATTATGTTAACCTCTTAGCAATAAGCTTTTCACTTATGCTAAACTTAGCTTCAATTTAGTGCCCATTCTGTTTTTCTACTTTGTCGGGACCCGGAGGAAAAGGCTATATCAGAGACTAAGGATGGGTTGAACAATGTGGTAGAGAGTTGATTCCGTGTTTCATGCTATTCATTGTCAAGTTTTTTATTTACTGTCAAACTTTCAACATATAAATGTACTCTGATTCCAAGTGCTTTATAATCTATCTTTTACATTGACACTTACCTTCCGTTGTTGACTTGTTGTCATTTTGTCACCTAAGATGAGTTTATGTTGATTTTATTGAGTAATTTGAATTTAAAATTATTTCCTTTGCATAGGTTAGTGAGCGTGAAAACCAAATCTATAGCTTTGGAGCTGACTGGAAGGACTTGGTTTTAAAAAAGGGAAATCAAAGCCGCTGAGATTGGTAAAAGGAAACATCTTAACATTGAGGAGATTATGTGCAATATCTATACACACATTTGATAAAAGATCTGTTTTGCAGAGTCATTTGGAGACATCAATTACTCGGCACAGGGCACATATAATGAAGCTAGAATTGATTTTTATTTTTAAAGATACTGGATTATGATGAATCGAGTTCAGAGCAAGTCAATGGGGTGAAAAATTTCCTGGGCGACTATGTGGAACACAATCAATCTGCACTTGTTTATTAAGATTAATGTGTATAAAAAGTTTTCTATTTATGCCTATAATAATGTTGATGGCATGTTTTTAAAGTAAATGAGGCTGGCATGTTTCTTGACCCCAATATCTTTTGGGACTAAGGCTTGGATGTTGTTGTTGTTGTAAATGATGACAGCATGTTATTCGATGAATTTTGGTAATTACATAAATGAGTTGTTATGTGCTCTTTAATTCTGGTGCATTTGAAAGTTGAAACACAACAAAAATCAATGAAAACCCTCGGAAGAGAACACAACTTGAAAACTTTTTTGAGAAACCTTTTTGATTAAGCGTCAATGGAAAATATCTTCAGAGAATTTATCTTGAAAAGTTAGTTGAGAACTTTTATTCTTCTTACTATTCCTTGTATGTGTTAAAACTGGGGAGTTGGGAAACTGTTTTAGAAAATCTGGCGGATTTCTCAGAGTATCGTGTGATCACTTTCCGAATCTAATATTTCGACCCTATGCCTGGGTTACACGAAATTTAGATTATGGGGATAATCACTCTGAGAGACAGTCTAAAACTGAGGCACCAATATATAGACCACGAACTAGCAGTTTTAGTAGAACTCGAATTCTTCTGATTACCAAAGAGATAAGGCCAATCAGTTAGAGTTTTACTCTAACAGAAAGTCATTCTATTAAATAATTAATATGGACAGCGAGACCCCCGTCAGGGGCGCTGCCCCTTGGACCCCGCAAGGGGGCGCAGCCCCCTTGACTCCCGCCATTTAATCGAACCAAGTTTAAATTTAATTTCGTACAAGTGTGCGCTCCACACCTCCTAACTTGTCTAAAATTAAACTTGAACTCCATTGGTAATATGTAAATTCCATTACACTAAAATGAACCTGGTGATACTAAAATCACCAACAATCCTCCCCCATTTTAGTGTAACCATGAATCTACATAAACAAGAATAAGAGACAACCAAACTTATGCATACATGAAAATATCGAAACGATTGAATTTTCATATTAGTACATTACACATTCCAAATACTCGAGAATCAGGGTGTTCTAAGAATTGAACCCTTCAACCCATTTGAATACATGAAGATAACATACACATAAGTTCAAATAAACAACTAGTTCAAAACTTTGACACTATTATTAAGCCGAGTGTCCCAATCCATTCATAATCGTATAAAAGTCAAGTCCCAACTTTTCGAAGTGCGGCTACACTTCACGATCATATAGGTAATTCCTTTAATCATGTACCTGCTTACATTTTAACAAAGGAATTATTAAGAATATATATTCAACCCTTTTACTACAGGTCCGAACACACTAACCTGGGATGACAAAATGCATGTGTTCCATTCCTTAAGTATGAGCTTTCCTCATTGAATTCAACCTCTAATATTATATTAGAGGGGAATTGGGTGTCTCATCATTATGGAATTAAATGGACTTTAAACCCATCCCAACCGCAGACTTGTGCACTAAGTCCCTGGCCAGACCTTTAGTTAAATGATCCGCCAAATTCTGTTGTGATTTCACATACTCAACAGAAATTACACCCTTCATGATTAAGTCTCTTGGACCCCGCCAGGGGCACTGCCCCTTGGACCCCGCAAGGGGGCGCAGCCCCCTTGACCCCTGCCATTTAATCGAACCAAGTTTAAATTTAATTTCGTACAAGTGTGCGCTCCGCACCTCCTAACTTGTCTAAAATAAAACTTGAACTCCATTGGTAATATGTAAATTCCATTACACTAAAATGAACCTGGTGATACTAAAATCACCAACAGTATGCCATTAAGATTGAAATTTCAGCTATACTTTAAGTTTGAACTTGATTGCAAATTGCCTCAAATATTTTATACTGAAGTACAACTGTAAATGTAAAAGATGAGAAAAATAAGATGCTCTGCCAAACTGCCAAAGTATTAGTTATAAGAATAAAAATCCCAAGATTAATACAAGTTCCCCATTAAACAAAAGATCAAGAGAATACCATATATGGATTGCAGGCATATAGACAACATGCCTTTCAGACTTTCATTTGAGGTTGGTCATTGTGACATACGCTTCCTGATTTTTTTCTGCCAAATTTTAGGATGACTTTGCTGAGTTTAGTGATGTTACGCTACTCTAACAAAAAATTTCGCTCGCCTTGACTCGAAATCTTGGATCCGTCCTTGTTGATGAGGTTTATAATGGAGGCTCTTGAAGATCTAGTCACCATTCTTGACTCTTGATGTCAATTTATTTTTGACAATATGTAAATTAATTTTGCTAATTCCGTTGCTTGACAAGAGCCATTTTAAGCTTCATAAGAAATTGTATTATCCAGGTACTTTTCACTCTGTTAGTATTTGTACCCCTTATTCAATACATATATGGTTGTCCCCTATGTTTCTCTCTTGAGTCAATTCAACTAGGTTTAAATAGGCATGGACCCAACCAGGCCGAACCAGATCGGAATCGGCCCGGCCCGTTACTGTACAGACCCGGACCAGACCGGACCCGGATGACCGGTTCCGGGCTTTAGCCCGGGTTGAGCGGGCCTGGCGGGCCGGTTACGGGCCCACAATTATATGAACCGGACCGGCCGGTTCCGGGCCTTTTTTTTGTTTTTTCAATTTTTTTCTTTTCCTTGGATAGGTCGGGGTGTTTTGGGGAGGTTTAGGGGGTGGGAGGGTGAGGGGGGGGGGGGGGTCGGGGGATAACAAGAAAGCCAAAAAAAATTATACATTGAACCGGCCCGGCCCGGTTTGGCCCGGACCCGGTATCAACCCGGACCGGTTCCGGGCCCAAGTTTTTGGGAAAAGAGCCTGCCCGGGCCCGGCCCGGAACCGGAACTGGACCGGCCCGGGTCCATCCCTAGGTTTAAACATGAAATATGAGCCAACCAGCCAATGGACTGCTACCTCTTCGGTTGCTGTCCAAATATTAGACTATTCAATGGGGTATTTAATTTTCAAGATGATCTTTTGGAGATTATCATGTTTTTGTCATAATCTATTTCCCACTCTATTCCACCACCATCAATGTGAATCACATAGATTAACCATTCTTATGCTACCCTCTAAACCTTAACACCATCAATGTATAAAATGCATTTGAGGTGAGTGTAATCAAATTGATTATGCTTTTAACAGCGAGTTAAGACTAGATTTTTGAATTGTTAGTTCTTTGTCATTCAATTTAGATCAGGATCATGATAATAGCTGGTGGTTACCAAAATATTGAATGTTGAACATCATGAGTTTTCAATTGTTCTATTAAAAATTAAATTGCATCAGAATTGGATTGTGAAAACCTGTTCTTAGCCATACATGGTTCTTAGCACCCTGGAGTCTTAAAATCTTAAGGAAGTCATGGAGTGGAGCTTTCAGTCTTGTACTGCTTAAATGAGTAAGCACATATTATTATCATGTTATTGGATTTGGAATTTGCATTTCCAGTATTTTCTTTGAAAATGTGATTTTGATTATGTTAACTATGAGCTTTTCGGCTATCCTAAACTTGGCTTCAATTTAGTGCCCATTCTGTTTTTGTACTTTGTCAAGACCCGGAGGAAAAAGGCTATATCAAAGACTAGCTAGGGATTGGTTGAAGAATTACCCAAACAATGCCTTTCTGGTTCTCCCGATATACCACACCGACACATACATTGTTTCAAAACACTATATAGCTCCCATGTAGACTCGCATCACTGAGTTTGTGGTTTCGTGACCACTCTGATAGGATCAGGATGAGTCAAATGTGAATTGTGATTTCGATGTTGAAGCTTTGCTATGTACTAAACATTGTTTTCAAATAAAAACAATTTCAAATACCTAGCAAAGCTTTAACATAGAATTCAGAATCAATTTCAAACAATTTCAAATACCATTTTTTCTTATTTCATTGTTCTAAGTAGTTTGAGGCCTTTTTTTTATCAATATTACTAAACTAGATTATTTTTCTTATTTCATTATTCTAAGTAGTTTGAGGCCTTTTTTTTTATCAATATTACTAAACTAGATTCAAAAGACAAAAATGGAGGTAAGGGTTAGATTGATCCTCGAAATTGCATAAAAAGGGTCAAATAAGTCCTTACTGTCCCGCCGTCGCCATTCGGGGTGGTTCCTTGTGGAATTTTTTGATGAATTTTTTTGAGAATCTTATTTATTAAGTCTAGTTTACTCATACCAAATTTCCGCTAAAACTTCAATCGGAAAGGCATTCAAATGAATTCTTGAAGGTAATTGCGCTTTTAATTGCGCAGTTACCTTCAAGACTTCATTTGAACGCCTTCCCGATTGAAGTTTTAGCTGAAATTTGGTATGAGTAAACTAGACTTAATGAATAAGATGTTCAAAAAATTTCATCAAAAAATTCCACAGGGAACCACCCCGAATGGCGACGGCCAGACGGAACCTCCTATATAAGGACTTATTTGACCCTTTTTATGCAACTTCGAGGACCAATCTGACCTTTACCTCGACAAAAATGTGACATATTTTGAATTCTTCCAAAAATATGACTTATAATATCACTTTTGACCTTATTTAAAGTTACATTTATTATTATTGTAATATTTCATTTTTATAATTAATAATTAATCAATGTCTTGTAACCACCCCAACAACCGCCACCACCATCATTGCCGCCATCTTCTTCGCTACCGTCTTCACTGTCACCGCCACAATAGTGACATTGTCGGTTAGTGACCTTGTCACCCTACATCGTTCAGTGACATCGTTGACCACCGCCTATACCGACACACGACCATAGTGACCACCACCACAATAGTTACTCCACCAATTAGTGACTCGACATTGACTCCGGCAATTAGTTACTGCTTGGTTCAATGACTGCCGTAGCTATCACTTTCCGCCGTCAGTGACTCCACCAACTAGTGATCAATCGGTCGATCAGTGACGACCGCCCCAGTCAATTAACACCGTCGTTGTCACTGTCGGCCAACAGTAACAACTCCACCAGATAGCGATAGCGGCGCAAGTCAATGCTTTCAACGATGCCCCGGCTTGTGATTGTTGTCGCTGTCCCAGCCAAAGACCACTTCGATATGCCGCTACCCGGCCTAGCGAAAGATCACTGCGCCCCAACCGCTCGACCGCCGCCGCCCCTGCCAAAGACCACTTCTGCCGCTGCCCAGGCCAAAGACCACTGCATCCCCCGCCGCAGCCCCGACCAAAGATGCCGCTGCCACCCTGCCCACAGACCACTACCGCCG